CATCACAAGCCATCACAAGCCCATCACAAGTCTACCACAAGCTCAACAAGTCTACCACAAGCTCATCACAAGCCCATCAAATGTCACAACAAGCCAATCACAAGTCATCACAAGCTAATCACAAGTCATCACAAGCCAACCACAAGTCATCACAAGCTAATCACAAGTCATCACAAGTCATCACAAGCCCATCATCACAAATTATCCATTGCCAAATCAGCTCGCAAGCTTTTCAGATAAACTGTGACAAAAGAAAAGGTATTGTGCTCTTATTGTCCATCCCGTTACTTGTAAATTAATATGTCAAAAAAATTGCAATCCATCACAAGTTTTTCGACCACGACACTGCGAAGCAGCCAAACATAATTTCATCGCGAACGTTTTTGCCCGTCGGCAGAAGGGACAATTAAAACAAGTCACACGCAACGCCTGATTTCACCTTGATTTCCGCTACTTCTGTTTCCATCAGGCGAACTCAGCCCCTAACTGGTATGGTCTGCGTAATCCGACAGTTAAAAATCTTCAAAAATTCACACTTGGTTGGCGACGAGTGCTTGCCTTTGCCGTCCTTGCGCGTCCATCCTCTAAATTAAATTCAGTCGCGGTCGTCAGCAGTTGAGACGTGCTGCTCCTGACAATTTTATCCTCGCTGTTCGCTTTTCAGAAAAACCTTCTCTGTAATTCTTATTTTACAGCGAACAAAGGTGACGTTTTACAATGGCCAAGTGTGGAATCTCTACTATTATTATTTTTGTATCCTCCTTTGAAAAAAAAGAATAGGACTTTTCTGTTTTCACCTTGCTTGTTTTTGGTCTCAAGAATTTTGCTGTCATTGTCTTTTTCAGCTTTATTAAAGTTACTTAAAGGTACATGTACAGTCCATCATTTGCAGCTATCCAAAATGTAACTGACGTAATTATTGTTGAAAAGCATACTTGGTTTAAAGATAGTAATGGCACTAAACTCCCTGTGAAATTATTCTTTCTGGCAAGCTGTCATTTTGAAGAAATCAATGAAAGAAGGTCTTTTCAACGATGCGTCTAAAGATCCAATTTCAAGGCTCGATCTGCTAACCTGCTTTTGGTATAAGCGTATTTCACAGGTTAGCGAGGAACTTTGGCTTCTGCGCATGCGTATGCATCCCGTAACTATTAAAGGATTCTGTGCTTACAGGGTTAGCACAGAATTTTCTGCTAGCGCGGTTAGCACAAAATGGTGATTGTAAGCGTGGAATAGACCTAATGACGTCACTCTTTGCTTACATGTGCGCTTTCCTATGTGGTACGTAGACGGTCCCCACCTTCGTCTGGCATCCCGACTTTGTTCCCACAGGAAAGCGCATATGTAAACAAAGCATCCGTGAAACTGGGGCCTGGCCCCACGTGATGAATTCTGTTAAGCACAGAATTAATTTCCAAAGCAAAATTGGGCTACCAGCCAAACTGTCATGCAATGTCTATTGATCCCGACTGGTCCTCGTCTGATTCACACTCAGCACACAAATCTGCTCAGCGATATTTTCTAATCAGCTCGGTGAGTTTGGGCCCAGAGCTGTAGATGTTGAGGAATGAAAGTTGGATTGCAAATGACACCAATATCAATCGTCAGCTTGATGTGTGTATATCTGTGTACGAGTACGTGTTTATTATACACAATCTCGATGCATGGCCGAGAACACACTATAATCACACACAGTCAATTCTCTGTATCATCATGTGTCATCAGGAAGGTGTTTATCTCCGGTTTCCTTGACATGAAACGACTGAGAATATTGTATTCCCCCTGGATGGGATGCCAGTCAATTGCCTATTCCCAAGCTAATATCTGAACCCATTCATGCTCCTGGGTAGAGAGAGGCAAGTTGGGATAAAGTGGCTGGCCCAAGGACACAACATATGGCCAGCAGCAGGATTCGAACCCTTGACCCTCTTATTTCTATTCCCCGGATGGGATGGGATGGCAGTCCATCGCAGGTTACTCCCCAGCTTATGCTGGTGCCCTTTTATACTCCTGGGTGGAGTGAAGCAAGGCAAGTTGGAGTAAAGTGGCTGGCCCAAGGACACTAGGTATGGTCAGTGGCAGGATTCGAACCCCTGACCCTCTGATCACTAGTCACAACCTATAAATGTTTGCAAACACCTTTCCTCCAAATACTGGCTTTAATTTTGTCTGCTTAAAACTCTTTTTGATGCTCTGTGGTACTACGGGGTACTATACAAACTGAATAAAAGCGAACATTTTTAGCACGACTTTCTTTCCACATTAATTTAAAATCAAAATTCACAATTCTTAAAATAAAAGACACAACATTTCCCCCTGAATAGGCCTAACACGTTCAAATTACGACAACTCATCCCACCGGTTCTCGTAAATGAAGGCAAATTTTCCAGACTCTCAATTTCTCGCCACAATATTTGTCTTTCGTCTCTGCCTGCGCATTCATCAACTGATACGCATCAACGATCAGAAGTTGTCAGACCGACAAGTTGCTCTAAACACTGTCGCAGAGAGGGGATACCAACTATTTACACAAAGACCCCCCCCCCCCCAACCCCCAGATTGAACTCTTGTAGACAACTTAAGAGCTGAGGTAATAAAAAAATATGCCAATCAGTCCAGGTCTCAGCTACATACTGGGGAAAAATAATATTTGTTTTTTATAAACCGAAATTGACATACTCTCAGCCAGAGTTCTGATGGTTAAAAAGCGTCATCAAGTGCATGCTTAGGTATAGGACGACCGTTTGGAGAAGCAAGCGCAAAGGTGAAGTGGCCGATATTTTGCGCGTTACCGAGCGTCGCGTCAACAAAAAAAAACATGAGTAATTGCTGGCCAGCTGTTCAATCGAATGGTGGATACATCCATCGGTTTGTCAGTCCCGCTGACGAAATTTGATTAAAAAATAAAATATGGATGCTAGCAGTGGGGCTGACTTTACCAAAGTGCAACACTTTTGAACATCGCGTCTGCCTGACGACATCTGCGAATGACAATACCCCACCTGGTAACCAGATGACAACATTTGCTGCGTTAAATCAACATCAATGATCAGCATACAATGACATTTCACTTGCAGTAGAATCTTTTTCTAATTTTTTTATTTTGCTTTTTTTGTACATAAGTCTTTGTTCCTGCAAACAAAGCCCTTGCGCACTGCAAGATCATATAAATTGGAAATTATATAAATATTGTTTGTGAACAAACATGCCATTGTGTGACAGGAAGAACTGACAATTTCTCCCGATGTCTGGAGGAAAAATTGAATTTGACAGACGCGGGAACTGCACCTCTGAGACATATTATCAAACAAAGAAGCTGATGCGTCAACATCGGACATGAACCGCTACGGTGGAGAATATTCTTTTCGCTCTAAACAAACTAATGTTCCAGGAAACTTGGAAGGTTTAAATATTTGTATTTTGAATGAAAGGTTTGATTAATGTTCTCAAACAGCATTTCAGGGCCGAATAAGCCAGCAATTTTTGACGACAGACTGATGGTTTTGTCAACAATCATGACCATGAATGCATGGTTGAACCATCTATGAATTTGACCAGTTAACGCGGAAAGGCCATGTCAACACGATCTGGCACTGTATATTCGCAGTGGCAGGTGACTGGTTAAAATCGTCAAGCTTTCCTTGAGTTTCCGGTGGTGGACGTGTATCCCTTCACGTTTCTCGCGTGCATAATTGACTGACATCAGAATTGATTGCTTTAATTAAGCGGCAATAAAACAATGGGCGTCGATGACAAGACGATAAATCAGCTCTTGAATCTACAGAAGCCAACAGTTGGACTGTGTACAAATACCGTAGCGCTAAAGAGATCGCAATGGCCAATTTAAAAAAAAATTGCCCATTACCCAAAGTTAAAAAAGCGAAGTGGAAATATTTTCCCTTCAACACTATACATTGGCTGCACACTATCTACGGCTGTATAAATGGTATGGTACACGGTACCCTGTGGAGACATGTGCACAATAGGGAACAAAATATTGTATCACCGCAGAGCAATTTCTGTAGGTGAATTATACGTATCCACAAGGTAATCACGAAACAGATAGATGGATTTTTACTCGAAAACTAGGAACTTCCAAGGTGTGTTGTTGATCTGTTGCAAATTGAAGTATTTTATGTAATATGTAAGGGATATTAAGTCTGAATTTCAGCCCAGGAAATTAATTCTGGTTATGAAAAATAGGAGCATTTTGAAAGTACACTTTCAAACTCGAAAATGTTAGTACAGGAGAACCAAGAAATGACTCCACAATGATACAAATTCCAGTATGTGTGCATGTGTGGCGTGTTCTGTCTGTAGTACAATGTACCAATGTTGGTAATGCTTTCATTGGCCCAAAATGTGTCCACATTTTATGAGTCTAGTAACAACGAAGAAAAGAAACATAATCAATCTACATGTATTTGTTGATAAAGTGTTGGGAGAAAACTGGGGGTGGGGAACTGGGGGCAAGAGAAAAACTTTTTTGGGGGGGGGGGTTAAGTATTTTATAGCAAATATTGTTATACTGACTTGTTTGACGTTTGTGTTCGTAGATGTTGGAAAACCAAGAAAAACAATCATGTTCCTGCAGTCTGGTTCCTGACCCCACTTAAGATGAAACTGAGCAATTTATAGACGTCGGGGGATTGTAAGGTCAGGGAACCAGCTGGCTTGTACCCGTTCATAGGTGTTTAATCGATTGCAAACAAAATGCGGACTAACTAAATATGGTAAATTGGGGGCAGTATTTGAAGAAAAAAACCCAGTTTTTTCCAACCTGGTCGGCAAGCATTGGGAATCGATAAAAAAAAACACTTTTTCTTGAAAATGTCAGCACACCAGGTGCCATGATTTTACAGGTTGCTTTAGACTGTCATTCACTAACAGTCCAGTAAAAAGGTATTTCATAACAATTTGTTAGTTTTGTTTTCTGATGTTTGCAAATGTTGTATATGCCCTTTAAATTGTAAAACAATAAATATTTGACGTGTACTCACGGAATGGTTCTGTGGAATAACACGTCCACTTCAAGTTTCCCGGCACTCTCCAACACAGAGTAACTGGACGCAGCAAATGTAAACTTGCCTCTCAAATCCTCTGAAGAAAAAAAAAGCAAAATTTTCAGAAATTTTTTTTGAGATACTTTTAAAACAGAATTTAGTACGCATAACAGGTACATGTATGCTTGGAATATCTCAGGTTCAAGTGCCAAAGTTCCTAACATAGGCGTAGCCAGCGGGGGGGGGGGGGGGGGGGGGGGGGGGTAAGGGGGCTATTTACCCCCCCCCCCCAATATTTTGTAAAGACTGCCCTTTTATATTCAAATGCCCTTTTTTTCACCAGCATTTACCCCCCAATATTTTGTAAAGAGTGCCCTTTATTTAACAAGTGTCCTTTTTTTTCTGATCAGAAGTGGGTAAACCCCACCGCACACGAGAGCTAGGTGCAGTGAAAAAAGTCAAATTCGAGGCTGTTTGCTCAGCACGTAGCTCATAAAATATCTCCATGTGCGGTGAATTTTTGCTGAGTTTTCTGCATTGCAAGGCCGTGAGGCAAATCTATCCTGTTTGATTTCTTTCAAATCGCGAGACGAAAAACTCACCGTGTGCGGTCAACCTGAGCAGCCTTAACCAGCCAATGAAAGCACGTTATTCTCGTTTGTCGGTCGCGACAAACGCCAGCAGGCTTTATAAGATTTGCACACAAAAAATCTGAAAATCATGTGTAAGGAGTACATGATTTCATTGGCCAGATTTTTGTCCAGGTGAGACAAAAATCACTTCTTTTACATAATTGGCATATTCTCAGCAACTCAACGTGCTGTTTCCATGATTTTTTTTCAGTATTTGAAAGAAAAATCTCTCAGCTTCAATCTGATATCCAAAACATAAAAATTCACCAATCAGTTTAAAAAAAAAAGGCAAACGTTTCAGGGTTGCATTTTTTGGGGGGTCACCTTGTATACTGGCCCAAAATGGGTCAATGATCGGCACACAATACAAAAACAATTTCGTTCAAAGGCTGAGAAAATATCTGACCTGTTATGGGAACCTCCGAGCTGCCATCTTGCATCGTGCGGACTTTATCCACTAGCTCCATCAGGCGGGGGTGGCTCGCAGAGGAAGGCTTGTACCCGTTGACGCGCTTCTTACCCCCCAAGATGGAACGGACCGCAGCGTGCCGAAACCTAACCGTGAAAAATGGAAAGAAAAAGTGAAAAAACAAAACAAAATCATGGCAAGACCTTGAATGTTGCAGCTCAGTTCACATGATTCGCAAACAAGTTACAATTGTTTTTTTCGTTGTTTTTTTTTCATCGTTTGGCGTACGTGTATTCATAAGATGGAATCTGCGTTGGGATGATGTAAATTCAATATTAGGTTTTGCCCTTCATAGACATACATTTGTACACTATAAACACTGTAAAGTGTGTTACCTCTCGGGTGAAAGTGAGAAAAAAAATCACTCTGAGGGGACGCAAATTCTATCGTATGAATACTGTCATTGCTGTACCAGCAGAGTTGTAATGACTCGAGTCGATGACTCGACTGAGTCTGACTCGAGTCACAATTTTTGGTGACTCGACTTGAGTCCCTAAGGGTAAATGACTCGACTTAACTCGAGTCACTGTGAGCAAATGAATCGACTCGAGTCATTGTGAGCAAATGACTCGACTCGACTCGAGTCCCTCATCAGAAGACTCGACTCGACTCAAGCAAAGGCTAATAAGACTCGAGTCCCAACTTTGCGAAAAGTATTTGCAATGACTTACGGTGCAAAATTATGCTCATTTCGCTTTGCGAATAGCAGTCATGTATAAATATACAACGTGTCACAGACTCCCACCTCATGGTTCTAGAACACACAAAATACTATCCAGGAACCAGATTGTTAAACACATTTTCTAATTCACTGTTTCATCATTGGCTTTGGGCAATTTCTTATAAAGCGCTTGGATTCGAACACTGGCTAAACTTATGACCTCCTTTTATCAATTTTGGTATATACTGTTCAAATATTTGTGACTCGAATTGACTCAAGCTAAATATTTGACTCGACTCGACTCGACCTTTTGACCTAATGACTCGACTGGACTCGAGTCACTTCTTTAAAATGACTCGACTTGACTCGAGTCACAAAAATCAGTGACTAATTACAACTCTGTGTACCAGCTGCTACATCAGATTCGAACCAGCCAGCCGATCCCACAAGCTCGTTGGTCAAGTGGTAAGATGTCTGCACTAGAAAGCAGGAGGTCGTGGGTTCGAGTCCCACCCGAGTGTGATTTTTTTCTCGGGAGGTAACACACTGAGTATACAGTGTTTATACGTGGGTGGAGGGCAAAACCTAAATATTGAATCATGTAAGTTAGTGAATGTAAGTTGTATGGATTAAATGTAATCGATTAATGAAAGTGTTACTGAGTGCTTCAGCTACTACCTGTAATGAGAGAATGAATTAATGAGGTCAGTATGAATTTGGAGCGGAAATAAAACAAGGTTAGTAATTAGTAATTTTGAATATGAATTAGAGATTAGAAGCAGATCGCTTTGTTACGCCAGTGGTGGTCCTGCAAAATCCATGAAGAAGTTTGCAGGATTTGGAAGAATTATTGAGGATCGTAGAGTTCTGTCATACTACTTAACATTGGGCTAAATTCTAGTTACCTTGCAAGCAAGAGAAACGTTGGGGGATTCCGATACAAATCTTTATTTTCAAGGTGGGGGGGGGAAACGGAAGGGCTGACGGACTGCTAGCCCTGAGCATCGGGGGGGGGGGGGGGGATAGTACTAACTAGGGGGCCCACTTCCATAAAAATACAAAAATGCACATGCTTTTGCCGTTGGGGCCGGGGGGGGGGGGGGGGGGGGACAATTGCTCGCCAAGGGGGGCACGGCCCCACCAGGCCAGGGCCTGCCTAGCTGGCCAAGGCAAATTACCAAAAAAAATTGGGGAGGGGGAGGGGGTACGGCCGATGACCAAACTCTAGGGCTGTTTTTAATTTATTTTTGATATGTCACCAAAAACATGGAGGAAAACGGGCCGAGAAGATCAGCAACATCATTTATGATTTTAAAAACCAGGCATCTTCACTTTTCTGGTTTGGTTATTTTTCTTTAAAAAGGCACCTAATCCTGAATCAACCAGTGCACTAAACAAGTGCAGTTGGTTTCTTGCTGACAAAAGTGGATTTTGCAGGATTTAAGAAAACGGTTGCTAGCTAAAATGGTTAATTTATTATGTTGTTAGTCACAGCGAAGAGAAGTTTAGTCCATGAGGAGAAATGTAGGGTGTAAAGGGGTGGGGTAAGATGAATTGGTTCAAATTAAGGTCAACAAATTTTGACCCTTTCATCCGAAACGGAAATAATAATGACCGTGAAGCAGTCCCATCACCCTCAAAACCACTCTGATAAAAATACTGCAGCAAGTTGCAGACAAGGCATACATACAGTTGCTGTCATGAATATTGTTGATGTACCGTAATGTGGAGCGGCCCCTAAGTAGAACACTCTCTTTTTTTCTTAATTCAGAAAAATGTTCACCAAAGCCACACTTTATAGTCTGAGTATCAACCATTGTCCATCGGAGCGTTCTCCATATCCAACATCTGATGTACATGTTCGCATATCTGAATAATGCGCATTATGTGACCTGCGCTAGCCAATCAGAGTTGACTTCAGAAATTGTGATGTCATTTCAATCAGAAATGTGGACTAAGCTTTTGATTGGTCAAGTTTAACTGACGCGATTTTGTTAAACAACAATGGGTTACGGAAGACCCGATAGAAGGCGCCCGCTGAATGGTCCCAATCTCGAGGTCAAGACGCAGTCTCGTTTTGCATAATTAACTGCCCAATCTGCTCCCGTATCATAGACACTTAGGGGATATTCCATAGACTACGTTTTGTAAGGAATCTTCACAAAAAAATGGAGAGAATTTTTTCTCTCATTAAACCCCCCCCCCCCATTTTTTTTAAGAAAAATAAAAATTGAGTCTCAATAGAACTGGCTTTTATTGTGTGTACGTCCCATGAAGGCAGCCATGCATGTTAAAGCCTGTCACGGTTACCGTGGCAACCTTGTCAAAGAGGAATTAAGCCCTGGAGGCTAAGTTAATGGATTCGGGGAGACGCTCATTACCGCCTAATGGCTCGTAAAATAACAAAGGCAACATTGATGGTGACGTTCTCGGCAGTTTTTTTTTTACGTCCCTCGAAGCAAATGGAAAGTAATACCTTCCACAAGGGACGCATTCTCCAATAACATTCCTTCTGATGGACCATCTTATAGACGATTCCAGGCATATCATCACTGTACACGCGCGAGGCCCCCGCCAATGGAGAAACCATTGTGCGATCCACGCTTAATTACAAAGCAACTGTCTCAAGATTCAGAAAGCAACTCGCCCTGTCTGCAGAAATGCCAGAGAATTTCTGGAGAGAATCTACCAATGCGAAAAAGGCTTGTCAAAGCAAAATAAAACGAACAAAACTCAGTGAACAGAGAACAAAAATCTGCTACGGCCAAAAAAAAAAAAAAAATCAGCTTCCGATTTGAAAACAGGGTAGGTGCATTTGTGTAGGTAGGGAATTTTTTTTTCTGCTGATTTTTTTATGTGTGCGATCATATGGAGGCGTCTGCGTGAAGTCTAGGGTAAAAGGCTGAAATTCATGGTTTTGGGTGTTTTTCTCTCATTTTTCCCTTAAAAAAGTTAGGGGTAGGGGCTGTCAGAATAGGGTAGGTAGGGAAACTGGAAGCAGAACTTTTTTTTTTTTTGGCCTGATAATCTACTTGTGTTTCTACGCTGCCTCTACGTGTCTACTGATTGACTTTCAGGCAGGCACTCACCCTCCTAAACTAGGAGTAAATGTGCACGCAAAACTGTAAAAATATGGAAGACGAAGTTAAGCATGCAAGTTAAGCTGAATTCCACACAAAATATTCTTCTTTTTTTATCTAAGGTAATAACATACAACATTCGCTTTTGCTGTAGTTTATCATCAATAGATGGATTTGGGTTAAGTATTTTGTTACACTGACCTTTTTAAAGCTTTGTATTCATAGATGCTGGAAAAACCAAGGAAAAAAGTCATTCTTGTATACAGTCGAATCTCGTTAGTACAAACTCTGTTAATACAAAATTCTGGTTATAACAAACATAAAGCCTTAATCCCGACTGTGCATTTATGTGCACAATAATGGGACTGATGTTCCTCTTAATACAAAATTCTGATATAACAAACAATTTGGCTAGGTCCGAACGAGTTTGTATTAACGAGACTCGACTGTAGTCTGGTTCCCTGACCCTACTTCAGACGCAGTAGAGCAATTTATAGACGTCTGGGAATTGTCAGGTCAGAGAACCAGGCTAGCTGGCTTGTGCCCGTTCAGGGATGTGTAACCGATCGCTAACAATTGTGGACTCGCTACATTTGGGGTTGATTGGGGGCAGTACATTCATTAGAAAATAAGTCATTTTTTTCCCAAATGATAATTGGCCGACCATCGTTGGAAATTGGTAAAAAAAAATTACACTTTTTCTTGAATATGACAGCACATCTGTTGCCATGGTTTCACAGGATGCTTGAGACTATCATTCACTTACAGTCAAGTAAGGTATTTCATAATAATTTGGCAGTTTTGCTTTTTGATGCTTGCAAATGTTGTATATTACCTTTAATGGGAAAATACAACATTTGCAAACATCACAAAATAAAACTACCAAATTATTTTGAAATACCTTGCTGGACTTTTAGTGAATGACAGTGTAAAGCATCCTGTAAAATCATGGCACCTGGTATACTGTCATTTTCAAGAAAAGTGGTATTTTTGTATCAATTTCCAACGCTGGTCGGCCAATCAGCGTTGGAAAAAACTGGCTTTTTTTCAAATACTGTCCCCAATTGACCATCGCACTTGTTTGCAATCGATTATACACACCTATGAACGGGTACAAGCCAGCTAGACTGGTTCCCTGACCTTACAATTCCCCAATGTATGTAAACTGCTCTGTTTCTTCTTATATGGAGTCAGGGAACCAGACTACAGGAAAATGATAGTTTTTCTTGGTTTTTATAGCATTTTCGAACCCAAAACCTCAAAACAGTCAGTGTAACTATATTTGCTATGTATTTCCAACCCCCCAATTCCATCCATTTCTGAAAATTACAGCAAAAGCGAATGATGTATATTCCCTTTAAGGATCATAGCACTTTGGAATAATGAATTTAAAATGGATCCCCTACACAGATGAATATGCCATGCCAGGCAATGAATAAATGAACTTCCCATGATGTTAATGAGGCATTGTAAAGGACATAACCACTGGTGCATGCAAAATGTTATTAGAGTTCTATTCTTGGTAAAAACGACTCTTTTTCAGTTGATATCTATGCATATTTGATTGAAAAAAAAATATGGGACGCAACAGTATGACATGCAGCATGCATGTCAGCCTATGAGTTCCTACATGCTCAGGCATCATGTTTTTTTTCTTCAAATTCTATTATAAACAAGTACTTGCAAATGATAGAAATACAATAATCCTTTCTTTTTTTAGCTTTTTTAAGCTCTGCAGAAGTTTCTACATAAGTCACTTGGTGGTTTGTCGGTTTGTCATTAAAGCCAGAGTCCATCATTTGCAGCTATCCAAAAAAGTAACTGGCATAATTATTGTTGAAAAACATACTGGTTGAAAGATAGTAAGGGGACTAAACTCCCTGTGAAATTATTCTTTTTGGCAATTAAGCTCTCATTTTGAAGAAATCAACGAAAGAAGGCATTTCCAACGGTGCGTCTTAAGAAGCACCGTAGGAAAATTTAAATTAGTAGTTCGTTTTGTTATTCGGCGCAGCACGCGCAAGCATTGGCACGACGCACACGCGTGCGCGGTTCCTATAATTCGTCGGATCAGTGAGCGACATCGCGTAAAGCTGCAATTCAAAACAATTCAAAACATGATTTAGCAACTTTTGATTTGAAATTGAGATCTTAGAATGCTGTTTTTCTCGGAATATACAGCTGAAGCTGACCTGAAACTTCATCAGGTTAGTTGTTCAGTATCCTTCATTAGATTTTGAACACTTTTGTTGCTTCAAACGAACAAAATGCACAAATTACAAATGATGGACTATGTCTTTAAGCATTATCTTGTTGTCGTTCCAGCGCTGACAAAAAGCAAATGTTTTTTTTTTAATGCCACAGAATGACATTTTTGCAATAACTCAATCCATGTGTACTGTTTTTACAGCATAAATTAAGGTCAAATTCGCACAGACGTATGATATCTTTCAACATCAAAGTGCAAAGTTTCCAGCATTTTCTGCAACAGTAGAAGGCCATGGGCGTCGCGAGGGGGGGGGCAAGGGGGGGCACTTGCCCCCCCCTGGAAAAGCCAAAAAAAAAAAAAAAAAGGAAGAAAAAAAAAAAAAAAAAAAAAAAAAAAGAGGCGCGAAGACAAAGTGGTGTAAATTTTATGAGTTGGGGGGGGGGGCAAAATGTCCCTGCCCCCCTCTAAAACTGATAAATCGAGAATGTGTTGAGAAATACAAGCATTTTTTGACAAAAAAAAAATTTGCCCCCCTCTAGAAAAAATCCTGGCGACGCCCATGTAGAAGGCCAAAAAGAAATAAATAAATAAAGCCCAGACGCATACAAGGATATCCCAAACGGGAAAACGTGATGAAGAAAAAGTAAGTAATGGATGTTTTTTTGACAGCTTAGACAGACAGACAACAGATTTCGCAAATGAGAGATTTTGAGTGTTTGTTTCTCGCATCTTAAGACCTTTTCAATCTTTCTGCTTGTCTTATCAAAACAACGATGCCATGTCTCGCTAACGATGAACATATTGAAACAACTGCCCCTCTCCTTGTATCCGCTAACAATCAAATTAATTTGGCACCCACTGGGAATTGAATGGCATTTTTTCCGTCCTGTCAATTACAGACAGATCTCATAATTTAAGAGGGCGAAATGCCGTAAAAATTGTCAGTTGCTCACGGCAACATTAGTACGGCAGATAGGTGATGGGATTGTACCTTTGATGGTACATCAAGGAATTTGGCACACGTACAGAGCATGTCTTGAGCAAGATATTTGGCTATAGGGCCATCGAAGATTTGTCCTTTGAAAAAATATAGGTACAATAATCAGCAATGGCAGCCATTTTGAGCAACAATATTTTTTCAACGGACAAATCTGCGATGGCCAAATAGCCAAATATCTTTCTCACGACATACATGTACTCTGAATGTGTGCCAAATGCCATGCTTGTATCATCAAAGGCACGATTAATTCCCCAAAATATATCTTCCCTATCTGCCCCACTACATGGAAAGGATTTTGCAAAGTATTGAGTAAAAATGAAGAAATAACAATAAACCAATAAAAATGGTCGTAACCTTAGGTCCAGCAGCCCATTTTGCCACATGCACATTTCAACTTGTGCGTTCTGCGAGCGATTTTTGACCGGCGTGGCACAAAATGGCAGCTGGTAATTTCGAATATTTGAATATTCAGTCAAATATAGTGTCAAGTAATCGAATACTAATTATTCGAAAATGAACAGCCCTACGCAACAGTATATCCTTAATACTTTTCACATAATTTATTTTTTCCTTTTGTTACAAAAAATTAAACCTTCTGGCAAACAACCTCAGTGTCACACCGGTATGAAAATAAGAATTTTTTTTAATTGACAGCACGATTTGGGGTCTTGCTGTCTAAAAAAAACCAACCGATTTACCTACATATTCAAAGCAAATAAGCGAACTAATGGTACTGCTACACAAACAAGAACAACAACAAAATTTCAGAGCCAGATTTGGTACGGACTCCTTGCCTCAACAAATGACACAAGAGCTTAAATGGAATTCATCTTAACAGTGACCGCATTGTGAAGGACACTTTTCTGGTGTACACAAAGTAAGAAAAGCGTCCTTCAAAATGTGCACCCTTTGCCGTTTAACCAGTTCACGCCGGGGTTATTTTGACAAGAACGGAACGAGGCGCGGGATTTAATTTCACTCGACCTCAAGCCAGGCGGGTTGAAGTCATCACCCTCGGGCAGCACACTCATATTTCTGGCCTCGCTCAAGTGGTCTTTAGACCATGTGAGCAGATTCACTGATTAACTAATGCAAGACAACCGCCTCTTGACCTCTAGATTTTGACCAATCAGTGGGCGCTTTCGGATCTCCGGTCATTCAACGGTTATTACGTCATAGACATGGACAAAAAACCTAGACACAGCAAACAAAGGCTGTGGGCACGCACTATAATACGCGATACGGGCACGCCAAGCTCGTCTAGGTTTTACAGTTGCCTGGCCATTGTTGTATTACAAAACACTGCATGGAACTGACCAATCAAACATTTAGTCCTGATTTGGGAATGAAAAGACGTCACGATTTTGTAAAGTCAACTCCGATTGGCTGAGGCTCGTGATCCCATCAATCTGCATGCTATGACATATCAGACGTTAGACAGGAGGCTGGGCTCCGTGGATCATTTTTGATACTCAGACTAGCTGCGAGCGGGTCGTTGACAGATTTATCCATCCGGCCTCCAGTCCCTGCATGTTAATCTGTCATCCGTTCTGAATACCGCAAAACTTTTGCATGTATACACAACCGGCGCAAACTGGTTAAACTCCGGCGCGAACTGGTTAAACAATGAGGGCCTTTTACGCATGCAGGCGTCTGCATCGATATCTATACATTTTCCATCAAATATTTTTGGAAGAAATAAGAAAGATACTTTACCGGTTTCTGCTACTGCTGTTAATCGGACGTAGAGAGGTGGTGCGTCACACATTAGAAGTGCAAGGAGAATCAGTGTTACAAAGAGAAAGGGCAAAAGAAGAAGTTAGTGTTAATTCAAAGACACAACAACATATTATATTTAACAAAGAAAAGGGCGTTAATTTGAACATGTTACAAGTACATGTAGAACAGTGTTAACTCACATTCATTAACACCTAAGACATACCCATTCCTATTGGTCGAGAGCCCGTCACGTGACCGGTTTTAAACAGTTGATAAAGACATGGCTGGCTGGTCTTATACAGCAGTGTCACATGAAATTTGGACTCCTATGAAATCTGGTGCCAGCACCGTTTTATTGGTTGAACGTTCACAATCCTCACGTAGGCATGTGCAATACTACCAGTGAGTCAGTATTTCATAGTACTAAATTCACACTACACCAGTACATCTGCGCGGTGTGCCACATCACGCAGTAAGCGCGACGCGCGCGTCAATCTCCATTTAAGGAGTTGTTTACCAGGGGACCTTACCATTGTATAACTAGAGGGGTGTTTTGTTGATTGAAATAGTTGAAAATTTATAATTTTTAACTTGTTTTGACTTCTGAACTGAAAAGATTTGATTTTTCGACTGAAAAGGTATTTATGAGTGGGAAAAAATATGTGCTTGGTCGGTATTAAACCATGTTTAAAGACCGGTTGGAGTCTGGATTCTGATTATCAGCATCCAGACTCCAACCGGTCTTAAACAGAGTGTTTAAAACCTCCAAAACACACGTTTATTCCCTTAATATTGTAGGTGACATAACATTCATAACATCAGCTTGGGACGAAGTGCCTTAAAACTGCTACAAATTTACAATTAGCATAATTGCATAAATTTGTTATTATTTTTTAAGCATGGATTTGCATTTATTGCTTTTCACTCTAAAATTTTGCAAAATATTGACAATTTTTCTTCTTACAGAAAATTATTCATTTTAGTTGAAAATGTAACTGCTTTTATTTGTTGTCGCCTTCCATAGATACATCTCTCAAATGACGTCACTACCTACCAATTGCCACGTGCATCGGCATTTTGGGAGTGAGAAATTTCTTGACACCTATTGGCTGTGCTGTATTTTGAAGAAATTTCGAGCAACATGCACGCATGTTTAGAACATTTTGCACACTGCGTGTACATTCACCTGATGACTTTGAATACGTAGCTGTAATTTTGTTACGAAGATGGCTGTCTTATAATGAGAGGAGTACAAACAAAATTACCTGTTTTTTTAATATGTTATATTTTAACAGTTTATGTTTTTACAAGAAGGTATAATCATAACTTTTATTTTTTAAACCTAACCCCTTGTATATATATATTTACTAGAAAGTATCCTGAACTCGCCAAAATCCATCAATTTTGCCATGCAAAAACAATTTGGTGGCCAGTGAGGCTATCAGAATCCACCAGTTAGCCGGGAGTATAAATCTGTTGAGATCCTGAATCCATCAAAGTCCCCCAACTGCTCAATATGGAGGTATCCTGAATCCATCAAAACCCTGCAGTACCGATAGGCTTCATGTCCTGAATCCATCAAAATCCCCCAACTTTTTCAATATGGAGGTATCCTGAATCCCGGCGCCGAAATCCCCCAAAACAGGGTGTGGATTTTGATGGATTCAGGTTTGTTAGGGTTAAAAGAATTCACAGTATGGGCTCCATGCCCCAACAACAGAGGGCGCTTTTGTGAAGTACGCACAACGTATTTTATTCTGAAGCAAACAAAGCCATAGCGTCTTTACGTGTGTGTCAGGCGTCGTCAGGAATTATGTTCAAATGTCTCTTCCAGTGGTCTCCCCCACATACAACATTTGCTTTTGCTGTAATTTTCAGAATTGGACGGATTTGGGGGTTAGTATTTTATAGCAAATATTGTAACACTGACCTGTTTTAATGTTTGTGTTCATAGATGCTGGAAAAATCAAGACAAAAAAATGCTGTTCTGATAGTCTGGTTCCCTGACCTATACTTCAAACGAACTGCAGAGCAGTTTATAGAAGTTGGGGAATTGTCAGGTCAGGGAACCAGACTAGCTGGCTCGCACCCATTCACGAATGTGTAACCGATTGCCAAAACAATGTGGACGGGCTACTTAAATTTGGTAAATTGGGGGCAGTATTTGAAAAAAAAAGTCAGCTTTTTTTCCAACGATGGTCGGCCCTCCATCGCTGGAAATTCCATTTTTCTTGAAAATGATAACACATCAGCTGCCATGATTCAACAGAATGCTTTACAGTATTATTCACTTAGGCCAAAAAAAAAAGTCTCCGGTTTCTGGTATGCGTGCGCGTCGCCGTAGCCATGCGCGTCGGCAAAATGAAAAAGTTTTTTTTTCGATGAAAGATGATGTCTCAAAACCGCCAACTCACTGGTTTGACTGGAATCCTGCTGCTGCAAAATTTTAACGTGTTTTTAGATTGGGTTATGGTCGAGAATAAGCTCTATATGTGGCCTCTCTGGACTCCCATATATTTGCACTAAGTTTAGTCGGGCACCATTTGCAGTCATCAGCCGACATTTGAAGCAAAAAAATCAGGTAAAAAAAAAAACGCCGCGTCGCCGCACCACTTTTTGGGCAAGCTCCATACCAGAAACCGGAGACTTTTTTTTTTGGCCTTATACGGTCAAGTACGGGTATTTCATAATAATTTCGGGTATTTTTTTTTTTAAGTGTTTGGAAATGTTGTATAAACCTTCAACGTTGATGGGTTATTTGTGCAGGAGAGCCCACTACTCATATAATCATACAATTCATTTTATCAAAATAAGAATGGTTTATCATTTGAAAAAAATTTCCGTTATCCTAGAGGTTGCAGCGCTAAAGGTTAGCAGTCAATCCAAGCGGCCATGAGATCATTATTTAGCCATTCAACGGCCACAATAATCAAATAATATTGCCGTAATTACGTTTTCCCCTACTTACATCGAGCCAAGCCTGCAGAGACCACCAATGAAATTAGTTTCGGTCAAGGATGTTCAATTCTTGTTCTTTCAATTTTTTGTTTGTTTAATTTTTATTAATTATTTTTGTTTTGTGTTTGTCTTTTGTGAATTTTGATCACAGGCTGTGATCGGTTGTGACTATGAGTGGAGCATGAGATTTAATTCTCTTGTGTGTGGGAGTGTGTTTACAATTGATCAATATTTAATCGAGAGTGACGACAGAATGCATTCCAAAATCTCCCCCGTCCCCCCAAAAAAGCCAAAATATTCAAAAGACAAATTTGCAATGCTAGATAAAATTCTTAATGCAACGGGGGATTTTTGAAAGATCTAGCATTGATGGTAGTGTAGAGTATTGACCATTTGTAATTTGTGCATTTGTTTTCTTTTGAACCAACAGACTCAAAATCGACAGACCAATGCTTAAAGGGAAGATACAACATTTGCAAACATCAAAAAATGAAATGAGCAAATTATCAGGAAATTATGTCTTACTGGATAGTTAGGGAATGACAGTCCAAAGAATCCTGTAAAATCGTGGCTCCTGGTGTGCTGGTATTTTCAAGAAAATTTGTATTTTTCCAACTCTGGTCAGCCAACCAGCATTGGAGAAAACTGACTTTTTTCAAAACTGCTCTTAATTTTTCATATTTAGTTAGTCCGCATTTTCTTTGCAATTGCATGTTTTCACACCTGTGAAATGGTACAAGCAGCTGCTAGACTGATTCTCTGACCTTACAATTCCCCAAAGTCTATAAATTGCCCTGTTTCATCTTAAGTTGGGTCAAGGAACCAGACTACAACAACATGGTTGGTTTTCTTGAATTTTCCAGCATCGCCGAACCTAGCCTTTCACCCAGGCCACCGTGGCTTAGAGCGGCGGAGTTGCAAAGACCGAAGCGACTGGAGCAAAGATTAAGTCAGCACGCATGAGTGGCCATGAGGCCTTTCCCAACTTGATTTTGTTGAATTATTCATAGTTTTTATGCAAATAAGAAGAGTGCTGAAGGTTAACCAGTCACAAAGCGGATTTTGCCTAGTCGCTTCCATTTTTAAAAGAAGGGTGAGTAAGAAAAACGTAAGAGCAAATAACTGTAAGCTCAGATGAAAAATAAGTTCATACAATCAAATTTCTTGAAATATTTTTATAAGTAAAATTAAAATAAGATAATGTAAGAACAATTACGCGGTCACGATCTCGTGGAAAACTAGACTCGCATTTTTTATTTTTCAATTTTGTGCAAGCATCCGGGCGCGTCAACGCGTCCGGGTAGTAGCCACACACGCACTAAAAGGCTGATGATTGGTTGGAAATTTGCTACCCTTTTGGGGTAGCAAAAATCGAGATTATAAAGAAAAACATAAGAATTTTTCGACAAGTTAGAAAAGGCCCTCGTGGCTTTGCCACTCGTGTGTGTGGTCTCCATCGCCAGTCGCTTCACGTTTTCGCCGCTTTGAATGCGGGCAAGTTAAGCCACGATGGCCTTGGTGAAAGGCTACTCCGAACCTAAAACGTGAAACAAGTCAGTTTATCAATATTTGCTATAACATACTCATCCTCCAAATCCATTTACTTCTGAAAATTGAAACAAAAGCAAATGTTGTACATTCCCTCTAATTATAAACATGATGAAATTTGAGCTCAGTGAATGCTGTACATGTATATTTTGAGAAAACAAAATAAACATAAAACACGGTATTCTGGGTCTCAAATTCAACTTCAAAGTTGCCGAGTCGGATTTTGAATTACGCCCCTTTGTGATGATCGACGCACTCCCGTAATCAGCATTTGGGACATGATTCTCATTGAGCCAGTTGCAAGGGCGGATCCAGAACACAATGGGGGGGGGGGGGGTGCCAAAAACAAATTTGGTCCCCCAAAAACATGGGTCCCAAAAATTACAGCGTTGGCGACAATTTTTGAATTCTAGCTGCTATGTGGTGCGATCTGAGGCAATTTTCTGACCACATTTAGGAAAAGATGGTGGTGTATGCAGTTTCCACCTTAATTGCGACGTTTTTTGGAGGGGGGGGGGCATGGCCCCTGTTGCCCCCCCCCCCCTGTATCGGCTGGTATAGGTTATAACACACGTAGAAATGGTGGTTGGCTGTATGGGCTTAACCATTTCTTGAAGGGGGAAGATCTCACAACAGTGAGGAGGGCCTCGACAATTTTGTGAAGAACACGATCGCGCAATTAACAGTGAGGTGTAGATATGGCACGCTGTTATACAGGCACTGCACTCTATACCGTATATCGCCACGTTTGGCGGTCTACCAGAGACCAAGCAATTTGCCTGTCCCTAAAGGTATGTTCTGAACGGGCACTGCACTAGTTCAAAATGTTAACATATTAGTTTGGTTATTAATTATTCACTCCAGTGTATAAAGAATACAGCTTTGGGTGCAAATGTTAAACTAATAAAAATAGTTCACAAAAGGAAATTGTAAAAAGTAAATTGCAAAATGTAGTATTTTTTTGAATTGGCAAAATTTGTGCACGTTATGTCCCCATGTCTACCGCCCTCGTGCGGTTGGGAGCAAGCCTAATAGAGTCTTTCTATGTCAATGCAATGGTTTACCTTGCCCTTGCTAGTTGCTTCTTTTCTTCATCGGATCTCTCGACTCTTCCGTCTTCCGGTGCGGCCTCTAAATCTTTTAAGACTCTGCCGGTGAAAAGACAATGCCAGATTTTATCGGGGAAAGTCAACCCAGAAAGGAGGTTAAATTAAAAATAAACCCTGGCATATTCATGAGCGATATTGCGTTGTAACCATAGAGCTATATTAAATTACTAGAGGGCTAGACTTGTGTACAAAGTGATATGCTGGGCGCATCCATGTTTGTACACAAGTCTATGGAAAACTCAAAATTTTGAAAGGCTTGTGTAAGGCTTTTGTACGGCTCTTTGCATATTTGTGTTTGTATTATATGCAGGTGCGTTACCGAAGCCGATACGCCCTAAAACGAAATGCAAGATCAGCAAATGAGCGTGTCATTTTGCTGTGCGCAAACAGCGCAATTAATCATTACCTTTTTTTAAACCGTAATGATGCGCTGAAGTTGTTTGCGTACGTTCTACTAGCAGATTGCATTTAGAGTACACTTTCAAATTTCAATCCATCTAATTTCATTGTTTTCTACAAACATGCACATGAATTTGAAATGTCTGCGTCTATGACGGCATCAAAGCGTCACCGCGTGCAAGAGGAGTTAGCGCTCTAGTAATTTAATATAGCTCTATGGTTTTAACATTGTTAGTGTTTGTGCTTTTGCAACTGAATTTTGTAAGCCGTTGTCCATTGTCTCCGGTCCCAAGGCCGTAGGAAGCGGTACGGCAGGTACGGCTATGGCCGTACCAATAATAACAGGCATATCTTTTTTTAAAATGTATATACAAGGCCTTGCATGGCCCCAAGGGTGGATTTTTTTTTTGGTTTCTAGATGCTCTGTGGTGCGATCTGAGGCAATTTCTGACCACTTTAACCATTTTTTTTAGAGGAAAAGATGGTGGTGTATGCAGTACCTGCCTCTATTGCGACGACACTGCAAAAAAAAAAAATGGGTTCCATTTTTTTGGGGGGGGGGGGGGCATGGCCCCCGTTGCCCTCCCCCAAACTTTTCTTGTGTTGTTTTTGTGTTTTGTTTTTGTGTTTGTGTTTAAAAGGGAAAGGGCGTAATCATACATGTCGCCACTAGGCCTACATGTTAAGTTAAACGTAATGGCGATTGGCCGCCACCATGAATTTTAGTTGTCCTCAGACTAGTACTTGTGTTTTCTTAAAAAGAAGTGGTTTGCTAGACCCGGTTTTGTGCAAGCAAAATTCAGGGAATAATCCGTTGAAGTTAATATCTTGTTGGAAAATTCCAAAATCATTCAAAGAAAGTAATTACCGCTGTGAATCAGAGTTTATGAAGGGACGGAAAGTGGGATTTGCTATCAACAAGACCGTTCGTCATTCTTTACCTGATGGGATGTGAATCAATTGGAGGATGAGAGACTCTGCGAGCTGATGTATTTTTTTTAGAAAAAAAAGTTAACAAATACGCTCGGCAGTTCAATCATGTACGTACACTGGTATATCCATACCGGTGAATTAAATTTCTAAAAAATACATCAGCCCGCAGAGCCTCTCGTCCTCCAATTTGATTCACATCCCATAAAAGGTAAATAATGGGGAACGGCCCTGTTGATGCTGATAGCAAATCCCACTTTCCGTCCCTTCATAAACTCTGATTAACGGCGGCAACTTTCTTGAAATGATTTTGGAACTTTCCAACAAGATATTAGTATCAACGGATTATTCCCTGAATTTTGCTTGCACAATACCGGTTCTTCCTTGCTATTTTCTCAGCTAGAAAACCACTTCTTTTTAAGAAAACACAAGTACAAGTCTGAGGAAAACTAAAATTCATGGTTAAATTCCATTTAACTTAACGTGTAGTGCATGGCGACATGTATGATTACGCCCTTTCCCTGTAAACACAATCATGGATCAAGCTAAAGAGCACAAATCTAGAAAGAGAGTCAAGCTTTTATGTAAAGTTCATCAAGTGACATATACTGGTTAAACTTGCAGATGTGCAGTGCTCCAAAATGTTTCTTGTACAAATTACGAAGAATAAAATTCCCTGTATACATGCATAGTGTTGGGGGGGGGGGGGGGAGTGGCTTTTGGTTACATTTGGGAGGGATTGGGTCAAATCCTGGATCTGCCTCTGCAGGCCTGCCAACTCTAATACATTGAGCGTAAGACTCACACATTTCAGGTTTTTAACGCCGACATGGGATTTCTCACGCAAAAAAAAAATATATATATAAAAAGATAATTGACTCCAAACTTGAAAATGATGTTTAAATGATGATAGCTCAAAAAAAGGTTAAAGTGGTCAGAAATTGCCTCGGATCGCACCACAGAGCGTCTGGAATCCAAAAAAATTCGGGGCCCTTAAGCGGGCCCCGAACCCCACGCCGTTAGGGCTTCGCGCTACGCGCTCGCATCAACTGAGCTCCCTGCCCTGAGATGAGCCTGGCCAATGAATTTTAGCTTCCTACGGGCCTGTCCGGTCCAACGTCTGATAATTAAATCTAAGCAAGCAAATTTATGTGCTCTTGTGCGCCAGCCATCGGCGTCAACTTTACAAAATTGTGACTTCGTTTCAATCAGAAATTTGGACAAAGCTAATGATTGGTCAATTTGAATGCCAAACACCAACGCCGGGCATCAAGCTAGAGATCTATGTATACATCCCAGGCACAATGTTGGATCTCACAACTGTTAGCAAAATGCTGCGCGTATAGAATACGCGAACATTCACTGTGTGTGTGACATGAACGCGCAAGAGGGCGTTCGCATTACGCGCGTTATTTATTGTTTGATGATCATTCGGAGCCACAGGATGTTTGCGCATCGCGTAACATGTCGTTACAGGCCGTGTGAGGCAGTCATACACAATTCACAACGTAAAAGCATACTTGTCGTGTCTGTGTTTAATTATATGTCTACGACAACGGGTCACCGAAGACCTGATATAGGAGGCACCCACTGAATGGTCGGAATCTGGAGGTCAAGTCGCAGTCTTGATTTGCATAAATAATTGCCGAATCTGCTAAAATATCATAGATTACAAAGGGGAAACTATAGTTCGAGGTTCCTTTCATTAGTGCTTCAATGTTGAAATGTCAGAGTTTTACTCCATTTCCAATGCCAAATTTTGCTATGGCCCTTTCTGTGTGTTAAAATAAAATTTGCTTTTATTGTTATTATTTTTTTTTATTAAAGAGGACTGTATCTTTTTTATGCATATAATTTGCCCTGAACAAGGCTCTGGATACAGGGCTACTAGAGAAATATAATGCTACATGTAGGTTCACACATTCCCAATTTTTAAGCCGAACCGCTGTGAATAGCAAATCTTGAGTAAACCGGTTCTTGGCTGCCTCGGGATGATTCTGTAAGTTCAGTGGAAGATCGTTAAAGATCGGGAAGCGCCGTCAATTTTGGACATGTTCAACATCATTTCGGGAACCAATTTCAATTCTGGGTTTATTCTTGTTGTATTCATAACTAATTCTGGATATTTTTACAGGCTTCTGGGAACTCTTAGTCTTACAGCATTTCTCACAAGATTCGTAGAGTTTTTTTGGTGTTGAACAGTCCAGAATCATGCCGAATCATTACGAATGTATCAAGAAATGTACTAGTTAAGAATAACTTACAAATACACTAAAGCGGCACAATTCTGGGTCATGATACTTGACTTAATCGTAAGTTATTCTTGACAAAATTGCTACAATTCAGTTTTATTAAGCATTGTCAGCCTGCTTATTACTTGGGTCAATATTGGTCAAGACCCCCATTGGTTTGTACACAGTAGGCCAGGAGGTGAGGAAGAACATTTTGACCATTGGTGACCTCTTAAGCAAAGGGAGGGTTCTAATCAAATCGCAATCATTCGGCTTGGTTCGATCTGAATCGGCTTCCAATTTGTACCTAGTTCTTATTTCTGTTTCATTATTGTAAGTCATTCTTACAAACAGCGGATTGGGGCTAATTTCTCCCGTTGCCATCAAGAATTTTGTTTCAGGATAGACCGGGGTATTTGTAGCCTTTAGTCAAGTCCCAAGCGTCTATACCCGGACCATCCGGACCGTAAACGCACCTCGGATGCTGGAACGTAATAACTAGTCTTTACTATCTCGTGGACTAATCACTTAATCATTTATTCACGTAATATAAATCAAGCAATATAAACCAATCATCTTACGGTGGTTTGCAGTTACCAGCAACAGCTCGCACGCCATGGCGCGCGTGCTGTCTGGCGCCAGACAACGGCTGATTTACATTAGTAGTTCTGCATTTTCATTGGTCAATTCACAACGGGTAATGCATTATGCATGTCTACCAAATCGGTAGGCAAATGTAAAAAAAAACATAAGCGTTCTCCACGAGATGATAAAGGGCTTCGCCGCTCGTGCTAGTCTTTTTAAGTGTCAGCATCCGGGGTACGTGGGGTGTCCAGGTAAGCGCGTGGGACTTGACTAAAGGCTAGGGTATTCGTAGCAGTAAGTAGGGAATGTGTGACACTAGCATAAAGAAGAGTAGCCGCTCAGGAAAACTGAAGGAAGTGAAATTTCAGGACAGATCATTGGTTGGAGGGAAAAGCACCAGGCAAGGAATTCCAAAGAGATGCAGCACGTGGGAAAAAAAGATTTAAAATGGCCTAAGGCTTTGCTCAGTCTGACCCCACTAGATAGCCATCCGAGCGCTCAACCCGCCAGGTTTTAGTCACTGAAACATTTGTGTTTCTGACGCTCGTTCTATCGTCATGACGCCACGCTTTGCCATTAATGTAATTTAGCCAACATAGCAACTCTGTAATAAAATGAACATGCAAGGAATCTCCCGTCAATAAATCGCTCTCCAGACATATCGATCCCCCACCTACGTATTTTTATCAACCCACCCGATATCGCCAAGCTGGTTTTTTTTAATTCCGGCTGTAATTTATTCTAGTCACGTTCCAGGCGTTTGCTCGAGGCACATAGTCTGCCCGTGAGTCAAGCACGCTCAATTGGCGCTCGTATGCACAAAGCTACGTTTATTTTGGCACGGAGGTGCAATTAAACACGGTGTTCGGAATCGGCGAACCGTTGCAGATTTCTTCAGCAAACAGGCACCCTTGCGAGTTCCTGTCCAAAAGTGTAGACTTTTTCATTTTGATTATTCAGGGTGTTTCAAAAAAAAGGAAACCGAGCTTATTTTGTTGATTTCTCGGGTATGACTAATTATTTAGGAAAATGGTAGCCAGGTCTGTTACATATAACCATGTCTTCTTTTTCTTGACACCACAAACTCCATTTTACCGTCACGGATGGCTGAGCACCAAGTGCCATTGATAAACAGATGTCAGTTCGCAGTGTGTGAGACTTTTCACTCGACACTTCTTGCAAACCGCAGAGCACGATGCCGACTTATACAGAGGAATTTGTGTGGTTTTGAGGAAATGGGACTGAAAGTAACACGCCGATAAAATGGCGGCTTACAAAGGCCGTCTTAGAAATGAAAATGTCAATGGAAATGCATTAGAAACAATCGGGACTTTTGTCAGACGGCCGATTTAAGCGACATGATGGTTTATACGATGTCGGTTTCGCCGGAGTTTACTGTATATGAAATAAAAGGAATGGAACTTACAGCATGTCATTTGTTCTTTCGTCCGTTGTTGCCTTCAGGTTCATTTGACTGCGGAATAAAAATCAAGAATTTATAAAAATTGTTAACAATGTAAATATTTGTGAAACACTTATTGCAGTGATTCAAGAAATATTCTACAAATTTAAGCTCTCCAGAAATTGGGGGGGGGGGGGGGGGGAAGGCAACCTTGTACCCAGGGTGTCAAGTACACTCCCACCACTACGGTACCTGCTTTCTCACCCTGGTATTGGATTATTTGCGTATCCAACAATTTTGAATTAGGAATAGTCTGGTGCCTGCCCGTGCTTAGCGTTTATTTTTATAAGCAGTGTCTGGGGTAACAACAGAATCAATTTGTCGCGCCGCGAGTTATGAAAACACACTTTTTTTTTCAAAGTTTAAATGTTACAATCTTATCACACCAATATGCAGTATCACCTTTCATATTAATATGAGCAAATTGGGAAGGAAAAGAATATTTGTATGAAGGTGTGAATGGAAAAATTACCATGATCGTTAAAACACGTAATTGCGGTATCAAATCAGAATACAGGAAGAAAGTTTCCTATCCACGGCTTACTATTGGAAACGAGGTTGGAAATAAAGTAAGCCTGGGAGGGGGGGGGGGGAGGGGGTGGCGGGCTAGATCTGCTTTCGTCAACAATCAACATCATAACTCTGTTTCTGTTTTTAAAAAAATTCAGAAATGCAGCAGATTCACAAATTGCACAGAAAGAAAAAAACTGTGACTAGAAAATATCTAAAAGTAAGAACTTATCAAGTATTTTTTCCTAATTCAGAGACTTCAATAAAGACGCCTTAATATAAAGTGAGAACACCGTGGGCTGCAGCTAATTAAGAAACACTTTTTTTTTCAGTGTTGAAAAGCTTATGAACTCTACCTTCCAATATGTATCCATATTTGCAATGTATTTTTTTTAAACCTGTAGAAAAAGAGGGCGATTTTAGGGATTTTTTTTTTTGGGGGGGTCACCCTGTAGCAGGATGATAATAATAATAATAATTTGGGAGGCTTATCATCCTTACTTGCAGCTGGTGTGCTGAATTGCAAAGGACGCGGCTGCAACATGGTCGGGCCGCTGGCACGTAATATAATAATATGACCACGGAGCACAGCCTGAGATCGAAAGTGTTTGATTTTTCCGGAGGGAGGAAAACCGGAGGGCCCGGAGAAAAACCCTCGTGGCACAGGAGAACACCAACGCACAACTCTACTCACATGCGATCCGCGGCGAGGATTCGAGCCGTGGTCACCTTGGTGAGAGGCGAGCGCTTTACGCACAAGCCACCCATGCCACCCTAGCTTGAAAATTAGCTCTGCTTGCGGCATTAACCCTCCTATGCAAACATACATTCTGTATACATTCTGTGCCCAGTAGTCCTTTCAGTCAAAATAAACTTTGTTTTCAACAGTTAAGAATTCCCGGCCTACATAGAGCAGGGTTGACGGGCTCACTGTGAAATGTAACTTGCTACATCTATGCTTTGACTCCGGGTGATTGTTAAGCCAGCTGTGGCCAGCTTTGTCTGTTCATGGTCTGTTGACTGAGTTTGACTAGTCACAGTGCTTGCTTGACATATGATCTGAATGCTGATGACTAGCCTGTGTTAAAAGCATAGCAGGGGACGTGAAAGTGAATTTTGACTGTCTATGACTGTTTAAATAGCAGGAGGGTTAAAGGTCATGAGGGGTTTTTTTTTAAATAAAAAAGGTCACAATTCTCTGAGTGGATTACCTTTCACGATTAATTTGCATGACAATAACATTTGGAGCTACAAATATCGCCCCCTGTTCACTAAACAAGCAGCCTAAAAAACCCAAACTCCAATTTATAAATGATGAATGGCGGATCGAGTCGATTCCCTTTTCCCTTCGTGGAAATGAACGCGCTTCGCCCTCCGGCACGGAACACAGAGACGACAAATTAAATCATGCCAGCGGCCGAAACATATCAACCGATACCGCCAACAAAGGAGATGACAGAAGGGATTTAATGGAGTTAGGTAGAGTCTTTTTTTGGGGGAGTCTAGGGCCCCTCTTAATTTGTTTAGCGATATGGTAAGGGACAGGCATTGCTCAATTGCAAAATGCCAAGGCTATACGGTCGTCATAACAATATTTTCAGAGGATTACTGCTCGGGTATGCCAACATGCACAAAGCTTTGTTGTATTTTTTTTTGTCATGCTCAGGTATTTTATTTGTTATTTTAGTGAACATGGTTAGCTGCACATAGGTTGCACGATTATGACAGACTTCATGGGGAGGAATTAAAAAAAAAAGAATTTGAAGTGAATATACGTCATTGTTGAGAATGAAAATATAAAAAAAAAGAAATGTTTGCTCTTTGTACCTGTACATATTAAAATTTTCAGCTTTTTTTTGAAAGGCATGTCCATGTATGTTCATGTACAGCACGTCCAAAAATATCTGCGGCATTTTTTTGCTAGGCTCTAGTGTCGCCGCGGAAACACGTACCGCCATTATTTTTATATCATTTTAAAGCTTGGAATCTTTATCCCTGGTAAGTATTGGTTTGATTTTCAAAAGGGTTTTGAAATGATTTGTGCTCAAATAAAGGCATGTCCAAAAAAACTCAACCGATTTCAAGGAAAATCAATCATCACATTTTTCTCATGTGGAAATGGTTCATCATGTTCATGATGTGACGATCTCGTTGCCTTTTACTTTCTGTGTTTCCTATATTCTTTTCGATTTTCGTAGACTACACTGTTCACCTTAAATGAATTCACAATATTGTTCTTCGTTTCAAATTCAATTTTGAAATGCACGTGCAAGTATGTACCTATTCAAATAGCGTGCTCAAAGTGTGACTCCAGTTTGCATCTGATGTACCGCATCATCGATTTTCCTTGAAATCGGTCCAGCTTGTTTTCAACGTGCTGTTATTTGAACACGAATACTTTCAAACTCTTTTAAATATCAAACCAATACTCGCAAGGGATAAAGTTCAGATTCCAAGCTTTTAAAACGGTATAAAAATAATGGTGGTATGTTTTTCTGCACCAACGCAAGATGCCTCAAATGTTGGGACCATTGTTTTATTGAAGTTCTGCATGTAGCACTTGCAAAATCTAGGACATGAAAGCCTAATATTCAAAAGCTTTGAAGAATCATTCAAATCACTTATGTACTTTTCAAGTTACGGAATTTTACACACAACCACCATTTTGAGGTTCTGTCCACGGATCACAAAGAAATTCAGTGTTAACAAATCACATAGGGATGTGTGTGAACTGTTTTCCTTTTGCTGAAAGAACGCACACCTTTTTGCTGATCCATGGACAGAAATTCAAAACGGCGGTTGTGTTTAAAATTCCGTAACTTGAAAAGTACACGAGTGATTTGAATGATTCTTGTACTAAAACAAAGCGTATGAATTGGGCTTTTATATCCTAGATTATGAATGTGCTACATGTACATGCAGAACTTCAATGAAAAAATGGTACCGACATTTGGGTTTCGTTTTTTCCCACTTACCCTGTATGTACATACAGTAGCGGGTAGGGTGGGTTGGGGTGGGGTGGGGTAGGTACCATACATATGGGGGGGGGGCTTAGGTTGGGTGGGGTTGGTTGGGGTGGGTAGGGTAGGGTAGGGTAAGATGTTTTAGGGGTTTGGATGGGGAGGGGTTGGGGTAGGGAGAGGTGGGGTGGGATGAGGTAGAATAGTGAGTATGTGAAGATTGGGGAGGAGTGGAAAGGGGGGGGGGGTAGGTTTGGAATTTGGAAGGCATTTAGAGGTTTGAATCACTCGTCTCCTGTTCAAGTCTGCTCTAAATTTTGCTTGCTATTCCCAAACATTTGAAACTATAATGCCCAAACTGTTTTTCTTGACACATTCATTTCAGACCCTACTCAAAATCACAGAGAAAAAGCGGCACAGAATGAATACAGAAACTTTGGAAATTGAGAAATGTCATCAGACAAATGATAGGTATGGCCTTGCACGCTAACAAGTGCTATTTTTGGTCCTGCTAATGATCAGTTTATGTCTTCTTCACAAATGACCTCTGAGAAAAACATATGAGTTCAGTCATTAACGCGAGGCCAGCGTGACAGGAGGCAAAAGGGAAGGCCTAAAATTCATTTGACATTTGAGCAGAATTTTGGTACCGGGTAGATGTCAGAGACAGCTTTGGGGTACAGAGAGCGGGATAGTTGCGCACCGAAACGGGGGGGGGGGGGGGGGGGGGGGGGGGGGGGGGGGAGACAATCTCGCTAATGCCAGTGGTTTTTCAAAACGGCAGCGCCACGCAGAGGAAAGACTCGCCCAATTTTCATCTGAAAACATTTATTTTTCGATAGATTCTGTGAAATACGTGGCAACGGATGAAATTCAATACAGTTATTGCTATTTTATTCTACGTTTTCTGGTGTGATTTAAATCAACGTTTTCAAGAAAATGTCATTTTAGATCGTCGTCTGCTTTCCATTTTCACACCATCATGGGTAAAAAGGGACAACTTAAGTTGGGATTTTTGAAACGTTCTCCAGTTTCCCCAAATATACCACTTATCACAGCATCTGAATGAGGTATTCAACTTAAAAATGTCATTATGGGTTTGCGAGTTATTTGCGAAAAGGTTTGCATTTGTTAGGTAGGATTGATTTTTGTAGTTTCTGTCGAACAATTACCGTGCCCGATGCTCTGTGTGTCTTTGGCGTTGCAAGGTTATTTTTATTGGGTGGGGGGGGGGGGGGGGATACACGTGAAAAAGGCACTCGTCTCATCCATGCTGAAAGGTAGACAGGGTTGTTTTACTGCAACATGGCCTCCATAAAATAACGAGCTCGATTGGAAATATCAAGGAAGCTGCGGGCCAACGAATTCGTGTTCACGCACGAGTCACTTGATTGTGCCATGTAATTCCTGGAAGGAGTAGTGTTTCTAGTAACAGTCAGTTGCCGTGTCACGCGTAGCTGCTCTATTTTCTCGTCCACAAAACTAAACAGCAATGCGAGTCCAGTAACAGCAACGCGAGTCCAGTAAATGGCCGTAAAAAGAGCTTCAGAAAATTCGCAATTTTCATGGCAAACCACAACCGATCCAAACAAAGTTGTTTTAGGAAAGACCCATACATACTTCATACATCCATCAAGGTATTTTTTCGCAAAAAAAAAGGATTTTGATGCATTTTGACGATATCATTTCACGGACAAATCGACTAAAAATAAGGTGATGAAATTTCCGGGTTTTTTTCGAGAACGACGAAAGTCTCCCAAATGTTGAGGTAATCAAAGGAAATAATGAACCTTCTTCTACAAAATATCTTGTGAACGTGATGTCGTTAATATTTTAGAATTCGATGTACACCTAATGTTTCAACAACTTCCATTTTTCACAACGCGAATAGATCGTCGCCATCGTAAAGCATAGAGCGCGTAGGATGAACCCAAACAAGGTGTGACTTGTGACCCATACGCCCACTGATTGGTCGAGCTCGAGTATGGCCTGCTTAATATTCATAAGTCATTCATTGCACATTCGCACGTGCTATTCACAATGTTTTCAGGCCAACGTACATGTACATTTGTACGTCGTCGTACTTACGTTCATTTACACTCGTACATGTGATTGCAAATCATGAAATCTCGCAAAAGTCTTCATTTTTCAACCGGCGATTTGGACCAAACATTAGAAGTCTCCTGCACGTGTTTCACATGAAAATGAAGCATATACTTTCCTCTATCTACTGAGCCTTGCCGTTTCTTTGGGCCTTTTTTAAGAATCGAATGTATACACCTAAAAACTATCGGCCCTCGCTTTTGTTGATAAAAAATATGATTTTGTTTGACAGGCCGTAACAACACTTTATATTTGTCAAAAGCAGTTATTTTTGGTATCAAAATAAAGCACACGATTGCAACTTTTCACTTATTTAGCCATCTTGGCCAAACAGTGCATGTATTCAGGCACTTTTCGTGTTTTTCTGTAGTCTCAAATAAATCTCGTAAAATCTTGCGTACGCTTTTGGGCCATGCGTGCATGACCTCGGGACAAGAAACTGAGGTCAAACAGGGCTGTGTGCGTGACATGGCCACTGACTGGTAAAAAAAAACATCACAGTGACCCTATAATGATCTTTGACCCCATTTGGTCACGTGACGTGTTGGGGCTGGGCTATACTGATACTTTTGGCAAAGTTTGCTTGAAATCGGTCAAAATATGTAGGAGCAATAGACAGTGTCAGCGTTTGCAGGCGCAGTTTTAGAGCCTTTATTTTTGGGGATAGCAGGTGGATCCAGAAATTGTTACAGGGAGGCGTGCTGAAAAGTAGACTGTTTTCTTTTCTCTGGACACTTAGCCCCCGAAAATCAAAAGGTGGGGTGGAGGGGGGGGGGGGGGGGAGGGGCTATTAAATACTAAAATCATGCACACTGTATTACCTAATAAGTAAAAGTGTAGAAATGCCCCCTTCATAGCCCCCCCCCCCCCTCCCCGTAGAACCACGCCTGAGCGTTTGTCGAACAGAGAGTCATCATGATTGTTGAGCTGCTATCTCGCAGCTAAAAAAAGTGGGAGGGTGGGGGGGGGGGGGTGGGGACCATCTTCCTACAAGAGCACTGTTCAAACCAGACAATGATGGCCACTATCGAACAATAGGTGGCGGCACAATTATTTGTACAAATACTACAAACAATTAGCATAAAGAACATCAATCTTTATTTCAGTATTCCCATTATAGGCAAGGCAATGACAAACAACCTCTGAAATGTTGTTGTTTTTCGATCACCTTGACTCTTTGACTCTTGTTCAGGGACGCTATTATTTTTTCATAAATCTCTCCTCTAATTGCATGGATATATCCTAGAGAACAATTCCCAGCCTATAACCTGATGGATCAGCGAGCCGTTGCTATGGTTACCTTTGAGATCTTTCTGCTTCCAAGGCTGCAAGTTGCGGGGAGGGTCCGTGGAACACGTGATGTTTCTTTACGTTGCCGTTGACCACTCGGATGTTCTAATGACCAAAAAAAAAGCAAGAAATTAACAAATTAATCCCCGAAGTACATACGACATTTACTCCACTCTCCTATGTTGGTCAAAAATCTGAACCTTTTCAGGATTAAAAACCCGATTTCCCAGATGGCAAAACACGATATCACAGAGCAAATTCTCAGTTCTTGAAAAGAACTGAGATGTTTCCTTAAAGGTATACAACATTTGCTTTTGTTGTAATTTTTCAGAAATGGATGAATTTGGGGGGTTAGCATTTATAGCAAAAATAACAAGATCTGTCGCCCATGCAAAGTATTCAGTAGTTTACAATTGTAAAAGGGGCTACCCCACATTTACTTAATTTAATTAATTACCATAATTTTCCTTCCTAAAAGTAAGCTTAGCTAGATTAATAAATAAGCTGATTGTGATTTTTTTCCTTTTTATCAAAAGACAATAATCTTGCTCCCGTCAACTTCTTTGATCAATCTCAAAACTTCACTTTCTGTGGAAAAAGTATTACCTTTTTTAAACATGTGAATTCGTTGTAACCCTGGATCAAAAAAAATGGTTTGTTGCAATAATTTTTAAGCTGATAGACAAGAAACCAAGATTTAATTTTTCCTGGCCAAATGGAGGCTGGAAGCTTTTGACTTTGGTGAAAGAGCTGTCTCCAGGAAGAAAAATGGGATTTTGTTTATTGGCATGGCTTGATGAGAACAGTGCAGTAATACAGACGGTAGCATAAATAAAAACCAAATTGGAATCTGTATTAAACACCGAGGCTTATTTTTATCCCTGTCAAAGAGAGGCTACAGTCTTCACCTCCAGAACGGACAAGTATTTTAAGTTCAGCCAAACTAACATGTTTCTTCAGAGAAACTGAAGCCTGTCAAACAACCGGAACAGTTAATCTTTCACGGAACATTTAATCTTTCACGCGGAGCAACCCCTAATGTTTCAAACAGTGTTACTTAAAGGGGCACTAGCCGAGTCCTAGAATACGCCCAATTGGGCTACAAAAGGCATTTTGAATGAAATGATGTTAATCGGAAAGAACACTTAAAAGTAGGATATAAACACCCACACAACTATATCCTTTAAAAAACTGGGCGCTTTTGTAGTATTCTTGTGTTATTCGTGCCGACTTTCGGGGTCCACTTTTACGACCCCAAAAAGTTGGGCTGTTCGTCCTAGTTGCGATTCCAGCCGTAAGGGTTTGCCTTTTGCGGACACGTATTTAAAGAAATCACATTTTGTGCATTGGAGATTGGCTACCGCTGTTCGTGATCACGGTGCTCAGGTACCTGTCTGATACTATGGACACACACAACGCGTATCGTATATTATATAAAACCGACAATAGACACATATCATACTCCATCGTGTCCGATGTAAACAACCAGGTTTTTTTTTGTCTTTTCTCGGGATGGTAAGACATCATGGTTTCCTTTCAACCAGATGTTTGAATTAGGATAAGTAAACAATCCAGAACATTAAATTTTGGGGGATTTCAGGACGCAGTGCCCCTTTAATGTATTGCTTTTGCTGTAAGTTTTCAGAAATGGATGGATTTGGGGGTTAGTATTTTTCTTGTCAATACATGTTTACAGCCTGTGAGTCAACAAGAAAGTGACCTGGGCCAAGTTCGGGCAAGGACCATTAGTCCACTAATGGTTGATTTGTGACGTACCTTACGCCTGCGCACTGATAGCAACGTGCGAACGTCTCTAGTCAAACGTTGGGCAAAATGTCAACGCAAAACTTCTGGATCCTGGCTCTCTGCTAGCGTTATGAATGCGCGCGGCTATTGGTTACCAGCGAAGCAACCGACCCCAGTAGGCTGGTTCCAAATAGTCGACTAGCGTAGTCAATCACCGTCGACTAGACAGAGTTCGGGCAAACGTTAGTTAACCATTGGTCAACTATAGTCCTAATGTGCGAACTTGGCCCTGGATTCATGATTTTTAGGCTCTGGCAGGAACTTCTACATGTCACTTGGTGGTCAGTCGGTTGGTCCCCGGAAAATTGACTAAATATGCCCCCTAAGTGTGCCATAAAATATTACTAAAAAATTTCAATTAAAAAAAAAGCAAACAAAATTAACTAAATACTTGACGAAAATTGTTTGTAACAATGCGGAAAGATGTTTATGAATAGTTTGTAAATGGAGGCAAAATATGTGCAGTAATGTTACACTTACAGTCGCGTGGTTTTTATCACAAATCGCTATAAATCTATGGTGTAAATCTAATATAGCGTATGGTGTTCCAAATGTGCCATTGGCATCATATTTTTGGGCGTCACATTTTTAAGCTCTGGCAGGGATCGTTTTGATAGATTTCATGCAAGACTTTCACGCAAGACGGCCAGAGCTTATTGCGCACTCGCACTTGTTCTCTTAAAAGCAATTATGTGCACTAATGAAGTATGTCTTAAAAAAATGAACTAACAAAATTGTTCCATGCTCGCAGAAGTTAGGCATGTTTTACTGAGAGAACCTTTTTATAGCTGTCAATGGAAAGATCTTGTCAACTTGCTAAAAAAAGTTGCTACGAAGTTTAAAACAAATTGGTTTAGCCCAATAGAACTCAAAGAGAAAATGGCGAAAGCCTTTGTTAACAAGCAGTACTTTAAACCCATTAACCAAAAACCAAAAATGCATAAGACTTCCACGACCACTTTCCTCTATTCTGAACTAATTGGCTGGGACTCACTGATGACATCAGAGCTAGGCCGGTGTCCGCGGATAATGCATTTTAATTAACACACGGCTGAGCGACGGTTTGACATGACAAAATTCACAGCGACGGCAACATGGTTATTGATCGGGCCGCATCAATTTTTCTCCCCGATGGAAGATATATGTTCGGCTTAATGCTTAATGTAAATAAGCCAAATGGACTTTGAAGAGGGATTTTCAGACTCATGCTATTGAAATCAAACAAAAGGATTTCGTTTTTTTTTTTTTTTTTTTAAAGTGCGTGGTGTGTATCTGTATTTGTCAAGCGATGACGTTTCTAGTTTTCTGGTTGGGAAGTGAGTGCTGTTTTTATTCTGTCTGGCCGGAAGGCGGCTTGAAACCCTACGGACGAAAAAGATATTCACGGATGACCCTTGCTCATCCAAGCATCTAAGTAAACAGCATTATCTAAGAATGCTTTTAATGCATTAATAACAATATCTAGATGCAAATATTGTCATTCTGCTAATGGGACATTTCATTCTGCAAGGATGTAAAAATGGCACTTATTTTAAATGACGCATTGCAACTGACCTATTGCCATTTAGCCCTATGGAATTTCACACGTTAAAGTTTTGTTTGTCTGAGTTTTTGCGCGTTCCGCGTCCATTTGTATGTAATTGGACAATGTAATCTGCGTTGATGTGATTCTATTGTCATAGGTTAATTGTTGAGCAAGCAGTATTGTCACAAAAAGGATGTTCATGGATTATGACTCTTACTCATCCAAGCATAAAAGATCCTACATTGTCTGTCTGTCTGTCTGTCTGATGTTTGTGTGTCTAGTTTTAGTTAAAAAGGCCTAAGAAGCATGCGGAAACACAAAACGCAAGGGTTAATAGAGAAGCTTGGTTGAATATTGTATAAGTGGTAGCTATATACCCTGATTTAACTGTCCTCTAAAGTCACAATTGGCATGACAAAAAATTCTAATTTTTGTTTTGTTTTGCTTTTTGTTTTTTTGGCAATTTTTTTTCTTTCAGTATTTGAACAATTAAATGTTAGAGGCCAAAAAAAAAAAGTTCTGCTTCTGGTTTCCCTACCTACCCTATCCTGACAGCCCCTACCTTAATTTTTTTTGGGGGGGGGGAATGAGAAAAACTCCCAAAACCATCAATTTCTACCTTTTACCCTTGACTACACGCAGACGCCTCCATACGATTGTACACAAAAAAATTGGCCAAGAAAAGTAATTCCCTACCTACCTACCGTATTTTAGAATGCCATGTAATCGGAAGCAGAATTTTTTGAATTTTTTTTTTTGCCTTACAACATAATCTCTACGAAAACACTCCAAAACGTATCGCTATCACGCAAAATATAACTTTTATGATGACAATTTCGTGCAATATGTATTTTGCAACCTCGTTATTTAAAGACATCCCGCTAAGTCTAAGTATAGGACGCTATCTAAGAATGCTTTTCACGTATTATTTAAAACATTCCCGGCAAATATTGTCTTTTTGCTAATGTAATGTCATTCACCACGGATGCATACATTGTAAAAGCGCCATATTCTGTACATGTCATTTTACTGACGCCAAGCAATCGTTGATCAAGCAAAGATTTGTCACAAAAAGGATGAATTCATGCATGGCCCTTACTCATCCATTAGCAACTATGTAAATGATGTTATCTTCAAGAATGCTCTTATGCATTATTTACAATGCTCCATGAAAATACCTATTGTCTTTCTGCTGATGGGAAATGCCATTCATCGCGGATGTAAAAGTTTCACTAATTTTACTAACGCCTTGCAATGGTTGCTCAAGCGTGAAATGTTAAGTCGCATAACACTAATTATGCATGATCTTCTTGCACACTAAGTATCATGAACATGGTTGTTCAAGGTAAGATTTACAAAAAAAATTGTGAAATTTGGGCTCACATACATGTACAACGTGGTCTTAAAAATATGCCCAATGTTTAATAGGCAGATTTCTCAAATTTGATGAGATAAGTTGAAATTAATTTCAGATATTCCTGAACTACACGATCTAGGTCGTATGGTGAAGACGGTGTTGAAAATAAGAAATAGTTGCCATTTTAATACAGAAAAATGGTCAGTAATTACTTCGTCCGCTTCTATGGCAGTCGTATAGACGACTAAATACCATTATTGCAGTTCTTTGTGCGTGCAGCGCTACTGTGTGGACCACACTGGTATCTCATAGAATCACGTGTGGACAAACTGGTTTTTGACCATCTTCCTTTAAACCATCGCCATTTCTTAATTTAGCCTTTTTTTCAGCACCGTTTTTCACCATATACCATGAAGA